ATTTCGAGAACATAGTCGTCTGAGTAAACGATAAACACGATTTTGTTTAGAAAGAAATGATATATTGCACTTTTTAAAATGTATTATGCAAACTGTTTTGAGCTGTCATTAATCCCCAAACCTCCACTTGGGAAATTCTCTTTAGGTCTAATTCAACGCGTGGGGCACACCGTGTGTATACTTGCGACTTTGAAAAGTTATAAACAGAAAATGATGATTTAAAAAAAAAAAAAACAGGAAAAAAAGAGAAGAAGTTTCTACTTGAATAAGTTCAAATCCCACTGGTCAAGTACTTAGTGGCATGATAAAAATGAGAATTTGACCCGTCCCTTGTTTCAGTTTAATATAACGTTCCGTGTCAGTTAATTTAAAATTCTAATCATATCTTATTTGATTAAAGAAAATTGTAATGATAAAAAGTTATATTTTGTGTACCTGAATATTTGACTTGTGCCTCGTTACTTATTTTGTGTCCTTCTCCAGACATAGTGATACATGTGTTTGTTTTGTTTATGTCCCTAACTTTTGCTGCAGCTAGAGATATGCTTTTGGAAGAACTTTGCTCGCATCATTCTTCTTCAATATTTAGAGGCATATAATGGCTAATCACTCATATTATCTTAACTCTAAGGGGGTTTCGGCAAGGACTCATGATTTACATGATGGAATAACAGAGATAACAATCTAATTAGTGAAAAATTGGATCAGGTGCTAGTTATTGATGCTTGGTTATAAGTCTTACCTCATTCCTTTGCCCCTTTTGATTTAGGAGGTTGTCATATGATTAGGTGCTAGTAAAAATTGGATCACTGTTTAAGTTCTTAAACTTGTAGCTACTAATACTCATGATAATTTCTTGTCTAATGTCGGATATCATATGACAAAAAGTAGAAAATAATAATTTTTTTCTAAATATAATAATTTTTTTCTAAATCACACATGCAATCATGTATCACTATACAGATTCAAACTGAATAGAAACGGTGTGTACAAATTTAATTATAGTAAATTACAATTAACTACATGTGTACAAATTCAAATAAAATGGAATACATGTATATAGATTTACAATCCGTATGTATTTAACTATATGTATGTATTCACATTAAAATTTGTATATGTTAAATAGAAAAGAAAAACATTTGACACAATACGAAAATACTAAATACTTTTTTGAAATTATGACTTTGAGATTATAATATTATTTATACGCATGATACAATGTATAATGTATCACTATACAAATTCAAATTAAGTAGAAACCATTTAACAAAAAAAAAAAAAAGTAGAAACCGTGTATATAGATTTAATTCTAGTTAACCACACCAACATACAAATTTGAATGTAATAAGCGTGTGGCTTTTGACTTGAAAATAAAAAACATAAGACCAAAATAATAATATTAAATTCCACTGCTAGGAAAAAAAAAAATGTTAAAAAACCCACTCACTACTTTCTCTATATAAAGCCAAATGCTTAACCAATCTTCTTCACACCTACAGATCTTCTTCTATCTCTCTCTCTTCCTCTGTCACAGATATTGACAAAAACAAAAAGAATGAGTCAATCAAATCGTGTCAGAGACGAAGTTACAACACCTTTACTCCAAAAAAGCTCTCATCTCAAAAATCACTCCTCTGTTCTCTCTGTTTTCACAAATGAAGCAATCTCAATCTGCAAAATCTCTTACCCATTGGTCCTCACTGGTCTCTTCCTCTACGTTCGCTCCTTCGTCTCTCTATCTTTCCTCGGCGGTCTCGGGGACGCCACTCTCGCCGGTGGCTCCCTCGCCGCCGCATTCGCAAACATCACCGGATACTCTCTTTTCTCCGGTCTAACCATGGGAGTTGAATCTATCTGCTCTCAAGCCTTTGGTGCTAGACGCTATAACTACGTTCGTGCGACTATCAAGCGAGGAATCATCCTCCTTCTTGTCACTTCTCTCCCTGTTGCATTTCTTTGGATGAACATGGAGAAGATTCTTCTAATCTTGAAACAGGACAAGAAGCTCGCGTCCGAAGCTCATATCTTTTTGCTTTACTCTGTTCCAGATCTTGTTGCTCAATCTTTCTTACACCCATTAAGAGTTTATCTTCGGACACAGTCAAAGACTCTTCCTTTATCAATCTGTACAGTGATCGCGAGTTTTCTTCACTTGCCAATCACGTTCTTCTTTGTAAGTTATCTTGGTTTGGGGATTAAAGGCATCGCCTTGAGTGGTGTTGTGTCTAATTTCAACCTTGTCGCCTTTCTCTTCCTCTACATCTGTTTCTTCGAAGACAAGCTAAGTGTAGACCAGGAAGAGAAGATAACAGAGGAGACAAATGAAGATAGTGTGAGAGAATGGAAGAAATTACTCTGTCTCGCTATACCAAGTTGTATATCGGTTTGTCTCGAGTGGTGGTGCTATGAGATTATGATTTTGCTTTGTGGGTTTCTCTTAGATCCTAAAGCAAGTGTTGCTTCAATGGGAATTCTCATCCAAATCACTTCCCTTGTTTACATTTTCCCTCATTCCTTGAGTTTAGGAGTCTCCACTCGGGTGGGAAACGAGCTTGGTTCGAACCAGCCACAAAGAGCGAGAAGAGCAGCCATTGTTGGACTTGGCCTCAGCATTGCCCTCGGGTTTACAGCTTTTATGTTTACTGTCTCTGTCAGAAACACATGGGCAATGTTTTTCACCGATGACAAAGAAATCATGAAGTTGACTGCCATGGCTCTGCCAATCGTTGGCCTATGCGAGCTCGGGAACTGCCCGCAAACTACGGGATGCGGTGTTCTCAGAGGCTCCGCAAGGCCGAAGATCGGAGCTAATATTAATGGAGTGGCGTTTTACGCGGTTGGCATTCCGGTTGGAGCTGTTTTGGCGTTTTGGTTTGGGTTCGGATTCAAGGGACTTTGGCTTGGGATGCTCGCGGCGCAGATCACGTGTGTGATTGGCATGATGGCGGCGACGTGTAGGACCGATTGGGAACTGGAGGCGGAAAGGGCTAAGCAGCTCACAACAGCTGTGGATTGTGGCAGCAGCGACGACAAGGAGGATGTGGAGGCTGGGATGGTTGATAATTAGGGAGGAATGAGTCATGGTTGGTCTTTAACAAAAAAAAAAAATTGACTTTCTTTTGAATTAATTTATAACTTTTTTCTTTATTTAGAAGGGAATCGTTGGAAGATTAATGTAAATTTTGTAGTGTAATGATAACACAATTCAGAGATTCGTCGTTTTATTCAAGGTTTTTAAATTCATAAGTTCAAATTTTGCTCAAATCGCTTGAAACTTTATTCGACAAAATTTAATTATACATTGCTGGGTTAGTGTAACGATTTCTTGATAAAATAAATAAACTAAATCATTGACCATTATTGAAGAAAATCAATGGACCATTGGGATGTATTGTGGTTACTTTGTTAATTCAACCAATAATTTTTTTTTCTCTTTCAAATGCTACTAAGTACTAACTAACTAGTAACTACAAATGGTAGCACATGCGGATCGGAATGTCAAAATAATGGCTGTTTTTGCATATGGATCATAAATAAATATATATTAACCATATTTAAATAAGTATAGTACTAATCATATTTTATGTATCACAAATGTAATTAGTTTAGACGAATATTTATCAATTATTACCATTGTTTAATTTAATTTGATCTCATAAACTGCCTATATGTGGATATGATTTTAGAGTCAAGTAAGTTTACTAGTAAAGCCACATATCGTATTAACTATTAACCCTTGTCTTGTAACATAAGCCGCACTATCAAATGTAAGTAGCACTCGAAGTTGAGTGGTCAAACGATCGAACTATTTTCAATCAAATACTAATAGCTCGAGTTTAATATTGACAATCATAAAGTAAATGCAGGATCGAACCCATAAAGACGAACTTTGACCCATTCGACCCATTTATTTCGGCCCTGAAATATCAAACCAGCTATTTAGAGGAAATTGATTCAGAGAAATCATCCGCGGTAAGATCAAATTCAAGAAATAACCGATGGAACTTATATGGAACTGAAACTGAACAGCCTAAGCTACCAAATGGTGAATCTACTAGTTAGTTTGACTAGGGTTTCAAAATTCACAGACAAACCCTCAATTTTAAGAAGAATGATCGAACCAAACTACGCTTAGTTCTAACTAAATCAAAAGATGGGTTTTTGTGGATATTGAATCCGACACTTAGTATTTGTAAATAAATTGTGGGACAAAAACTTTCGAGAACAAAAGTTTCCAAAGTATTTGCAATTTTTGTGAGAATTTGAGCAATAGAAAATAGTATAAAAAGTGTATTTGCCTTGTATTTAGAGAATGATCTATCCATTTCTAGGTTTTGGGACTCTATTTATCCAACGTTGTAATGATCAAAACAGCTAATAAATGTCAATTATTCATCATAAATGTGTCTGTTTCGATCATGTCATTAATGGTGCAACGTTTGAATTTAAACTCTCTTTGGGCTTCTCGTGGGCTTTTCCTCCTAGGGCTCGTAATGGTTCTAGCATGTCTCCTATAAATGTTCGGCCTTCAGCGAGTTCTTGACCATCATCTTCGAGCTCTTTCGTTATGATGACTTGGATCGTAGTCGTGGGCCTCGTGGCCACCTTAATTATGACATAGAGGTGACGTGGATACTTCCACATGGATTCCGGACTCTCGGTTCGTGATCCTGTATCAACAGTTTAAAGGTGAGTGTACAAATTTAACCACGTGTATAAAAATTTAAATGAAATAATTATATCAGATATGTTGACTAAAGGGTAAAAAAAGCATATGACATATGATAGAAACTAATTAATTCTTATGAAAAACAATAACTTTGAGATAGAAGTATATTGATTTTCTCCAAATGTTACCATGTATCACTATACATATTCAAACTGAATAGAAACCGCGTAAAATTAATATACATATGACCAAAATTGGAACACTAATAATATGAAAACACACATTACTTATCTCTATATAAAGAAAAGGCTTAACCAATCTTCTTCACACCTAAAATCTTCTCTCTCGTAGACATTGACAAAACAAAAAGAATGAGTCAATCAAATCTTGTCACAGACGAAGTTACAACACCCCTACTCCCAAGAAACAATCATCCAAACCTACATTTTCTAAGAAATTACTCCTATGATTTCATAAATGAAACAATATCAATTGGCAAAATCTCTTGCCCATTGGTCTTCTTAAGTATATGCCTCTACGCTCGCTCGTTCGTCTCTATGTATTACCTCGGCGGTCTCGGAGACAAAACCCTAGCTGGTGGCTCCCTTGCCATCGCATTAGCGAACATCACTGGATACTCTCTTTTCCCTGGTTTAACCATGGGCGTTGAAACTATCTGCTCCCAAGCCTTCGGCGCAAGACGTTATAACTACGTTCATGCGACTGTCAAGCGAGGAATCATCCTCCTCCTCGTTTCTTCTCTCCCGATTATACTTGCATGGATCTACATGAAGAAGATTTCTATAATGTTGAACCAAAATAAGGATCTTGAGTCCGAAGCTCACATATTTTTGCTTTGGTCTATTCCAGATCTCATCGCTCAATCTTTCTTACACCCACTACAAGTTTATCTCAGGATCCAATCAAAGACTCTTCCTTTATTTATCTGCACAGCGATTGCAAATATTTTATACTTGCCAATCACGTCATTGTTCGTTACGTATCTCGATTTGGGGATTAAAGGTATTGCCTTGAGTAATGTTGTGTCGAATTTCAACCTAGTCGTTTTTATCTTTCTCTACCGCTATTTTTTCAAAGAAAATATAAGTGTCGAGGAGGATGAGGATATTTATGAGGAAACATACGAAGATAGTGTGAGAGAATGGAAGAAATTACTAGGGCTCGTGATACCAAATTGTTTCTCGGTTTGTATTGAGTGGTGGTGCTATGAGATTTTTATGTTGCTTTGTGGGAAACTCGAACACCCTAAAGTAAGCATTGCTTCAATGGGAATTATCATGCAAATCACTTCCCTTGTTTACAAATTCCCTCATTCCTTGAGTTCAGGAGTCTCGACCCGAGTCGGAAACGAGCTTGGTTCGAACCTGCCACAAAATGCGAAAAGAGCTGCCATTGTTGGACTCGGTCTTGGCATTGCACTCGGGTTTTTGTCTCTCACGTTCACAGTCTCTTTCAAAGACAAATGGGCTACATATTTCACTGATGATAAATATATCATTGCGTTGACTGCGGAGGCTTTACCATTCGTTGGCTTTTGCGAGCTTGGGAACTGCCTACAAACAGCAGGATGCGGCATTCTCAGAGGATCCGCAAGGCCGAGAATCGGAGCTACCATTAATGGAATTGCATTTTATGCGGTTGGGATACCGGTGGGGTTAGTTATGGCGTTTTGTTTTGGGTTTGGATTCAATGGATTTTGGATAGGAATGATCACGGCGCAAACCACATGTGCTATTTTCATGATGGTGGTGATATGTAGGACCGATTGGGAATTGGAAGCGAGAAGGGCTAACGAGCTCACTGCGGTAGTGGATAGTGGCAACAATAATTGCGAGGAGAATGTGGAGGCTAGGCTAGTTGACCAAGTGGTAGTGAACTAGTAGTTCTATTTGTGGATGAGTTACCATGTAGGTGTAGGATGATGTAGTGTAAAGTCCTAAAGCACTAATGATCCCATCATTAAAGTAATTAAGAATCGAACCAAAAGGAGCAATTAATTAACTCACTAGGCATACATACAAATGTTTAATCTATGCTAATAAGATGATTTGGTTTTTCTAAATATTACTAACAATGCAGTAACAATCTAACAAAGCAAGACAATTCAAAAGAAAGCAATAAACAAAAGTACTAGAAGATAACATGCAAAAGACTAACAATTGTTGAGAGTAAACAAGCGGAAATAAACAAGTTACTAAGCGATAATGAAAGGCGAATTCCCGGGTTAAGGCAATCAATTAGTAATGACTAAGAGATGGGTAATGGAACTAAAAACAACTTCTACCAAGAGTGATCTTCAGGCCATATAACACTAGATAAGACTAATTAATTCATTTCCATCAACAATTTCCAAAGTCAAAGAAATGATTAATAAGCATTTAATAATAACCCAACATCTAAATCATCATATTCTACCAAAACCAAAGAACTCTAAAAAGACTACCCACTCATGATCATGAAAGCACAAAGCAATGGGTTTGATCTTTGTGGGATCATGATTAGAGAAAGTCGTTAAGATAATTTTTAAAAAGTACTTGATACTGAAGCTTAAGAACCAAAGATTCATACAAAATCTTAAATAAACCTTTAGATGAGTTTTAGATCTCCAAACAAAGCATAAGATGGCTCTAAATAGGTTCACGGGTTTTTATAGGAAAGAAAAATGAAACGGGTCAACCCATAACAAAATGGATTTTGACCCAGCTGCAAATTAGATCACACTAAAAGATAAAACAGCTTAGGTTATGCATTGGCCGTAGGTGGTGGTCGGAGTGGAGCTTCGGTGGTGTTGTGGCCGAAGGTGGAGATAGAAGTGGCTCATGTCCGTCCGTCCGTGACGTCTTGATCCTTCGGTGGTGTCTTGGCTAAAGCTGGTGGTCGAAGGGAGCCTCCGGTCTTGTCTTGTCCCTAGGTGGTGGTGATATATCATGGATTTTACCGTTTTTAGCCATGATATATATATATATATATATATATATAGCTTTCGAGTTTAAAATCGATAAATGAATCGCAGATGCACAGTAAAATGTTGGTAAATGCGGAATTAAATCTACAAGGATCAAAGTTTACACATAAGATAATCGAGATTTGAAACTAGTTAAAAACAAATTGTTATAATTGTTTGGTTTTCTATGCTAAGCAATAATGAAATCAAATCAACAAAAAAAGTCATCAGCAAAATTAAACGATTAGTAAATAAAAATTGAAAGCATTGGACATAGAGTCTAAAATAAATTCAGACATGCAAAAACATTGTTTTGAATAAGAAATATAAAAACACTCTGAAATCTAGGATTCGTCTTTACAAGCCCGAAAGTGAAAAAACAAATGCAGATATGAAAAGGAATAAAGGAGGAATAAGATATCTCTAAAAATATATTATGAATATATGAAAATTATTATATACTGAAATAAAATATTATTGATAACCATTCTTTTTATTTATTTTAAAATAAAAAACAAATTTTATTATTTGTTTTTTATTTGTTCCATTTTGTTCCTCATCAATTTTGGAGAGGAACATTTTTGTTCTCTTGTTCCTTATTTGTTGAAGAAAATAGAAGAATGATGTGAAATAAACATTTCTTGTAAATGGTAAAAATATTGAGGAACAAAAAGGAATATCACATTCCTTCTCATTCTTTTCCTGAATTATGGTTACCAATTGAAGCCAAAAATTAAAAGCATTGGACATAGAGTCTAAAATAAATTCAGACATGCAAAAACGTTTTGAATAAGACATATAAAAACAGGGGTTCGATTTTTTAAAAATATAAAAACACTGAAATCTAGGATTCGTCTTTACAAGCCCAAAAACTAAAAAAAAAAATGCAGATATGAAAAGGAATAAAGGATGAATGAGATATCTCCAAAATCGAGCCTAGGTCGAAACTGTCGTGAAACGAGTCAAATTCAGGCATAGATTATGCACCTGTAGGTGGTGGACGGATTTCGCCTAGCTCTCATGGTAGAAAGTTGTGCACATCTTTTAGCTACTCGCCAAACTACATGTCTTCATTAAGTTTTGGTTAATCATCGGACGAAATACACTTTGCACGATTTATATTTTAAGTGATTCCATTTTTTGATTGTACAATTTCCATGAATTAATACACTTTGTATACTTTCTTTTGATAGTATACAATTTGTGTACTATCTATGTGATTCCTTTTTTGGCTTATGAAACATTTTTAACTATGATAGTTAAACGAAACAATGATATATTTAAATTGCCTTTTACGTAATCCTTTTGAGTTTCAATAAACATATCAATTGGTAAACAAAAATTTAGTCGACCTGACCACTCTGATTATGGTGCAATACATGGTTGTATGCTCTTATACTATATAAGTATTTGATTAATAAAATACGAAATAGAGATTCGTATCCACTAAAACTAGTAATATAAGTTGTGGGAATATCCTCCCTTTTAAGTATTTCAAAGGGCACTACAAATTTTGTCTTTACAAAACAACCAAAGTGGATATAAATAACTCCATGAGGCACTTCAAAAGTTTTCATACATTAGTTTATTTGTACTTTTTTTTTTTTTTTTTTTTTTTAATTTATTTGTACTTGAATCTTACGAAATCCCTATCTTCATGGGAGATTCACTATGTTATATAGTTTCATTTCTAAGATATTTCATTTTTGTTTGCATTACCCTATAAACTAATCAAATGATTAAAAAACTGTAACAAAAAAAGACTGATTAAACAAGAATAGACCGTGGGTTAAGATCCTTTGAAATGAATGGATTATATTAATTAATTTATCTATTTGATATAAATTCAACAAGGAATTACGCAGCCTATTTTGTCTCAACGTGGCAGCTAACAAGAACTGAGAAAGATTTGGTTAGGAAACACATGCCAAGAATCACTCATGTTGGATTATTAATAATTTAACACGTACAACTCCAAAATTTGTTAGCGATAGGGGGTACTTACTTCCTAGGATTGAAGAGCCAATTAAAACTTGGTATGCATGTGTTCTGTCAAATTGCTAATATAGTATTGAGGTTTCCACGTGTATACAAAATATTTGACATTAATGCACATTAGCTAAAACATTATTGAGTTAATAATATTAGTTTTTTGTAGAAAATTATTATTAAAACATTATTGTATAAATTTTTTATTAGTCAATACATAACTGAAATTTACCTAGTTTAACACAAATCTAAGAAAAAATAACTAGATTAACACCCAAATATTATGGTTTACTAGATGAATACCCACGCTATGCATGGGTTTGTTTTAAAAATTGTGAAACAAAAATTATTGATTGTTTTTGCTAATTTATGTTTATTTTTTATTTGTTATTATGTAGTCAATAAAACTAAATCTATCTTATGTAGTTACAATTTTTAAGATTAGATCTATTTTTTGACTTGAAATATAACCCGGGAAAAAGACTTATTTGTCAGCTGAGACCTCTTGCTTGTTCCCGTAATATCCTTCATCGTCCTCATGGCTCTGCTAGTTGGTCAGAAGGTACTTTATCAGCTTTCTCAATATCTATTATGGGTACAAAGTTTTTTTTATCCTTTTTGAATGGGATTCATTGAACTCTCTCGTTTATATTTTCTGGGGATACAAAAGTTCTAGCTGCAGTATACGGACCTAAAGCAGGAACGAAGAAGAACGAAAATGCTAAGAAGGCTTGTTTTGAAGTCATATGTAAGCCTTAAACCGGATAGATTGGTAATCGTAAATACGTTTAGTTGTTCAGAAGGAGGTTTGTTTTGTTGCTTGAGTATGTGATACAGGTGATACTTGGTTTTTAGATCTTAATTACTTTCGCTTTGAATATTGATAGGAAAAGTTGAAAGGGAGTATGAAACGATACTGAAAAGGACGCTACAGAGTATTTGTGTTTTGACAGTTGTTCCAAATACCACCACCTCAGTGATAATTCAGGTGAGTAGCTATTCAATGTTGTGTATATCGATATTGTCAACTTGAGTTGTATCTGATGTTTTCATTTCGTAATTCCCGTGTAGGTTGTACATGATGGTGGTTCTGTATCGTTTTTATGTTCCTTGCACCTTGGTAAACATTTATTGATGCTGTCTGAAACACATATAATCCGGTATAAAGAATATATGTTTGAGTATTTATAGAGTTTATAGTAGTGAAAGTTTGTAATCCCATAAGCTGAGAGTGTGAATATGTTTTTGTGTAACTTCTACCGTGGCCTCCATTCTGGCAGTTAGAAGGTAGAAAACGTTTGTTCTAAAGAAATATGATGTACAGAAAGGGAGACTATGAAGGATGGAATTTAGAAAGTCGAGAAATTTGCGTTGAGATTCTTCTTCTTTCATATTGAACGATCGAGCAGAGAGTGGGAGAGATTTATTTTGTTAAAGTCTTGTGGGGAATTAGAATATTTGTTGGGTTTAGAAGCATTAAGCCATCACTAAAATGGGCTCGATCCATTAATATTGCACTCTAATAGTAACTAAGATACATATGGCCCATCCGTCATTGGCTATTTTGTTTACTCCATTTGACACTTATATTAGAAGCTGATGTGTATTAATGAAATGTTTTGATTGGACGAACAAAAAGCTGATGTGTCATCTGTAGAAGAGCCAAAAATGCTGACGTGGCGGAAAGATGGAGAGAGATAGCCTCCTTTCATATCTATGATTAGAATAACATAATTTTTGTGTTAAAAGACCAAATACCCATTTTATTTTCAATTCTATTAAAATAAAATAATTAAATTATATAGAAAATTAGAAAAGTAGTATTTTAGAGTACATAGTATAACTTCTAATTTGTTTAATGATCGATGTAGCAATAACTGAAGTTGATGATGAGATAAAAACATAGTACAATAATATACTATGAAGTAAACTAATATCAATGTAGTCACATGCATTTGTACCTTATATCAACCAAATTCAGGAGATTTTGTCTCCTCGACTGCGATTATGAAACACACCCAATATAATTATTAAAAAAGCCGAGG